TAAGTGTATTCATTTCATTAGCTGTGCCTAAACGGCGAGCAGACCAACCGCGTGGACATGACCTGTGTATAATGTGAAGTTCACGTATCCGTCTCGCTTACTTTAATCCATTGAAACATCTCTCTTGGTGTGTCCCTTACTTTAGATTTCATCCCAGATATATTTCATTTATTTATTTGCATTAACAAATGAAACCAGATTTCACAGTAAATCTGCTGCGGTTAATGGTATGACAGTTAAGGTGGGATGCTGTTAGGGAATACGTCTGTTGCTGACTGCGCATGGGATGTGTCTGCCACGCTGCCTTCCGCCTACTTTGTGACGATAGGGCAGCACGACTGGCTCTACCCGGTTTGATCCTGTTGGCTCGCCGTTATTGTGCGCTGTGCTCGGGGGAGGCTGAAAAGGAGATGAGGGGGGGGAAAGACCGTGCCACTTCTTTCTTTCAGGATTAATATCTGTTTCTGCCTTATTAATATGGTTGAATCATGTGGAATTCATTTATATAAAACATTCTACTAAGAGGGGTAGAAATTTTGTATAAAACCACTTCCTTGCCCCAAATTCTCGAGGTAAGCTAATATATATGTGTAAGCACAGAGGTGGATAATCAATTTATGTGGAATAATAAGTTTAAATTTGGTTACGTGGCATAACGGGGAATTTATTAACAATTATAAAATGGTGTGAAGTTTTTCTATTGTTGAAACCTGATTTTTGTGTCACTGGTGTGTGACGTAACCGGTGCGTGAGGGGTTCTCGCGAGAGCAAGCCTACATCGGTTCAGTTGAGGAGGAGAGCTCATGCTGCTTCATCTGTTGGTGAAACTTTGACATGTGGCCAAGAAAGGGCGCTGAACTGACGCTGTTAGCGTTCCTGGTTATCTTTAATATTCACGCGTGTATGTTTATGTGACGTGCAAAGAGATTTAGAGCGTTTGTCGAGAGCCATGTGCCCTCATAGAAACTGACGAGGAAACACGGATGTTAACCTTTGACGACCTTTGGTTATCATATGTTTTGGGTTTCCTAGTATTAGACAGCTTGATTCTCTGAATGACTGACCAGACGATTACTCAAAGTCTAACTGGGTGTGCTCTGTTTCTTTAAACTCATCATTGAAAGCAAAATTGTTAACGTGTCACACACGTCTTCAACACAATAACACGTCGTTATGTAACAAACAGTAAGGAAAGGAACGTGCTCCAAAATGCTGAGAAGATCATGCACAGCTTTATTCCCACAGAGACTCGATCACGTCATGGCATCAGTGTTCCAGCTGTTTGCCACCGCGAAAAGAGGGTGGTGGTGGGGGGGGGGAAACTATATATTGATGTATTGACACGCCACTGTGTTCTTATAAAGATCATGATTGCATTTTTTTTTATATATTCACTGTTACAAGGTAAAAAGTATGCCAAATTATCTGTCCGAGGTTACTGGTTACAGTTTGTCCGTGTGTATAAGTAATTCTCACTGAATTATCATCATATTTAAGTTTGTTTTGTTTTTAATTTGGGGACTTCTCGAACCCTTTTTGTAAACCCCCCCTTTATGTGTTTTATTTAAATGGATGTCGGGAATAATGACATCATCGGAATCTGTAGGGACTATTAAATAAAAAGTAATGCCTATGAAGGCTGTTTGTTTGTGTTTCTTTGTATTATCCAGTCGCTCCAGGAATATTACTACTAATAATAATACAGTCACGAACAGCACAAGCACAAAGAGCTGTGAGGGAGAGAAGGAGAAGTGGGTCATTCGCATAATTTCGCTCTCCTGTCACGCCGAGGTGTTCTTCCGCTTCTCAGCTGTTGGTGCTCCCTGAGCAGCGTTGGTAAACAATAGCGACTCTTTAATACTATTTGTCTGTCAAAAATGAGTCTTTAGAAATCTCCCGAGTGTGGGATAAAAGAAAGGGAAGGTGAGAATGTAGTAGCTTGTGATGACCTTGTTTCATTTCCTGCCACTTCAGCTTAGAGACAGCGCTGTCGGCATTCGCCAGACCCCCTCGCCGGTCTGGTCTGAACCGGTTCGGAAAGTGCGCGGTCTCGTGCGCTCTGCAGACGTCTCTTGCTGAACTGCGGAGCGCGCGATCCCTCCAGGCTCGGCCCCCCTAGTCTTCCCTCATTGGTTGGCATTATAGCGGCTCGCCTACATCTTCCGCGTGCTTTTTGGGCAGTGATACAATTCGCGAGCTGCGATTGGTTACATCCTCTCGAAACCTTTGTTTTGGGGCAGGCCCCGATAACCGTGCACGGGCATGCGGATAAGTGGAGTTGTAAACGAAGCGTGTGCACTTTTCAGCACCAATACCTCGTGGATAGCAGCCAAACCTATAGAAAAAAATAGTTGTTCGGGTTAGTTTATTGTAAAAAAGCCGACAGCTTTGCTGTTTGCAGCACTAAACAGCCGCTGTGAACGCGGGGATTTTTTTTGCTAGCAGCTCTGACCCGGCTAACGGAAATACAAAGCGCTAAAGCTCGTGCTTTGTTTGCCCTGGTGGCAAGAGCTGCATCCCCACATTTTTGCGGGTAAAACCGTCGTTCTCTCTTCGCGCTGTCGAATTAGCTCGGTGTGGGCTCAACAAACTGCACCAGCGAAAGACTAAATGGCAGGAAGTGAACGAAAACAAAGGTGATAAAGAAGACTATTTGTCCAAGTCGGTTCGGTCCAAACAGCGGTTGTAGCCGCCGAGGTCTCCATTGTGTGACCATCTCCGCCTGACCCTCGAATCCCGCGCTGCCACCGGTCACCTACTGCCTCCACGCCCACAGCTGTTGTATTTTCAAACGGATTTCTTTTTCAAACAACGTGAAAATGTGTTCTCGAGTTTGGTTCTTGACCGACCGGCGCATCAGCCAGGAGTATCCACAAGTCCAGATCCTCCGGGCGCTGAAGGAGCACTGCGCTGACGAGGACGTAGAATTCCGCTACCTCCTCATGGATCAAATCGTGCTGACGATCTGCGAGGGCCAGCTAGGCAAGTACCACACAATCGATGCGCGGTCGTAAAACGACATACAGTTTGGTTTTCTTGTTTTATTTGAGATCCGTATAGATGGTAGACTTTAATTGTTTGGAGGGGGTTGTACACAGCTTGAATACAGAGCGAGGGGTTGGCTCGGTCTGCCTGTTTGCAAGGAAGCGAAGTGTAAGCATGGCCGTGACCGCCTAACCTACTTTTCCAGCTAGACTGCCTCCAGAAGGGGAAGGATGACGCTTGATTTAATTTCGCTGAATTCGCTGCAATCCCGGCAATTGCAAATTATCTGAATTACCCGGGCAATAAAAGCTAAAAGAAAAATGTGTTTAAATACCACAGAGACCTAGTTATTAGATAAGAGGCATTCATCAGTGAGCTGTTGTAATTTTGCTACAGATTGCGTCTCTTGATAGCTCAGGCTGTATAGGTTCTGTGTTATTATTTATTTTATTTATTTTATTTTATGTATATAAACACTGAATCATTTAAAATAGTTAAAATTGACTCCCCGAGTAATAGTTAACAAAAAGAAAAAGAATAGGACATTCACACTAAATGCAGGTAAATGACAAGCAAATCTTTATGGCGCCCATATCGGGATTTTTTGTTATTACCTAATACTGAAACGGTGAGGGTGAAAACTGCCACAAAATATAAACATGCATCAACTTGTTCTGGCATTTCAGGGTTTTCTGTACATATTACAATATTTATACAACCAACGTGATCACCTATTTTTAACTTTTTTTTTCTTCTTTTATTTTCATTTTGAGCTGCTTTGTCCGAAACACACGTGATTCTGAGTGTCATGTAAGGATAACATTTCATAGAAATGACTAGGGAGGCCTCAATAAAGTGATGGCAACAGCAGGAGCTCCTAACAAACAGACGAACAGGGAATTTGTCAGGCTGGTGTGAAGTGGGGATATGTCACAAGATGAGAGGAGATGTGTGAAGGTCTCAATTAACACACAGATGTTAATTGAGACTATGTTAAAAACATATAATTTTAGGCTGACATTAGTGCCTGCTGAAAAATGGCAATGGTTAAGAATGTGGGTAGTGTGTCCCTTACTGCGCTGTTACATTAAACCGCTGTATTGTACGGCTCAGTCAAGCCAGGCTTTACACTTTAAATAGGATTTTACATGCAAACAGATGGGCATTTAAGTGGCAGGCATTACATTTAAGAAATTACAAATAATCACACATGTTATAGCACAGCCCACAGAATAATTACCAAGATAAATATAGCCTGGAGCTAACAATTTTCGACATATATACTCTGTACCCTGCACATTTTTAAATGCAGGTGGACAGCTGTCCAACTGTATAGCTTAACAAGCCTCACATGAGCAAGGCAGTTAACATGGCTTGTAGTTCCTAATCTGCCTAAAGTAAATGTCTTCTGAGCCTTGGCTTGACATCACAGATTAACAGCCAGTGAACAGATTGGTTGTGCTGTGGGATTTCTACACAGGAAGCCTCAGGATACATGGCCAGATGCTTGGATCCTGTAGTGCATTTTTTCTTTATGCACCTGGCAATAAATGCAGTTTTGTTGTTTGTTTGTTTTTTAAGATATGGATTAACACTCACTGGATTACAGATTCTCTGAAGTTGCAACACAAAATTCAAACTGTAATTGCTAACATATCTGTATCTATAGCTTGTTTTTTGTATCCTTCCAGGCCGAATGGGCTGTCATTTGTGTTAGCATAACACAGCAGTAGGGCAGGGCGATATGGCAAAAAATATTTATCACGATATATATTTGATATATATATATATATATGTTCGATATATATTGCGATAACGATATAACTGACGATATAATTTCTGTGAGACAAAATACAACTCCACAACTTTACTAGTGCAAAAAAACCCATCCATTTATTTTCACTTAAAAGCAGCTGTATTTTTATGTCCATTAAAGCTATATAAACATTTAACAGTGCAAATGCAAATTCCTTGCTGAAAGTTTAACCAAAAGGCATTTCCAGTAGAAATGGGCTGACATATCCTGAGCATAACCATGTATAATATCCACTGAAGTTAAAAAGAGATGCTTTGCTACATTAAACTGCAGTGTGCCAAATAAAAAAAGTCAAATATGTATTTTTAGGACCATAAGGTGCACGGGATTATAAGGCAACAAAGCAGTCAGATAAATCAAACTTTATTCAACTCATTCTTCTTTCTTCCTCCACTTCTGTATCATTGATTCGTTAATGCTGTATTCTGTCACAGCTGCTCTATTCCCATGTTGTTGCAGTATATTAATCACTAACCTTCTATTGTGGATGGATTATCTCAGTTGTTCTCCTCACTGAAGTTTGGTCCGTTTACAGCATCCTGCCATGCGATTGCAGTTGTCTGTAAGCATCAGGAACCTTCACGGAGTGGAAAAGTGTTAGCGTTCATCCCCCAGCTTTACTGTTTATGTTATGCTAACACAGCTGTGTCGCTAGCGATCACATAGCACATCATTAAATACTAGCTAGCCCAACTTCAGTAACCCTACAAACGTGACTGCTGTTTAGTTTCCTGTCCTCATTTATGTTGGAAGTGATAGCAGAGCTGTACGTTTGATTTTTTCAGAAATCTCTCAGTCAGAACATGCTATATCATGCTTAGGTAACTAGCGAAACTAGCGAGCTAACTTCCGCTAACTTCCTGCTAACTTCTAACTCCGTTAAATGTAATAAATTCTGTTTTCATGGATGCCTGGATGTTAAACATCATAGTTACACCTGGTAAAGCAGCAACGCTGATCGTTTTATTAAAGATGGAAGAATTTAGACAGTTTTTAACTCTCAGTGATGTTCCGTTTGACTTCGGGACCTTAAAGGACAGATTTTAGGACCCAGATTACTCCCAGATTTACGAGCATCTTAGTCCGACAAATATGGCGGCCTGCTTGCATGTTCTACAAAAAATGTGCTTTGTTGTGTATCTGACGGACAAACACCAAACCAGTTAGGTTGCACCATTTTTACAAACTAATTCTGGTTCATCCGTTTCACTCAACAATCTGCTTTCCCCATTCTCCGTTACTGCCGTGCTTTTTTGGGACTGCGCATGCACGTTTTACCCATATTCTATCGCGATATTTCATTTTCTTATCGTGGACTAGCATTGTACCGTTATTACCATGAACGGTATAATATGGCCCAGCCCTACACAGCAGTGCCATAGGCAAATGTGGAACAAACGCTTAAGGATATACAGCTACATTTGCAGTTAGAGCAAAGCAGTTGGTCTTGTTTCTACACTGGAAACACAAGTGATATTTCACTGCAAGTGTAATTAGTACTACGTGTTCCTCCATTTCTGTGTGTTGTTTTGATCAAATTTACATTTGCGCAAAATGTATGTGCAGTTTACATTGAACATATTAGTACATCCTACTCCAAATCCAGTGAAGTTATTTCAGCAAAATTTGTATGACAGAAAACATTTGAGAAACAAAAGTCCCTCATATCACAACTCATCCAGGGATGAGCTTTGACCTGTGAGGAGGCATAAACCATTTCTTCTTTTAGCTTAGGTCATAATAATGTCAAAATCATAAAACTGATAACACCTTTACAAGTAGAAGTTTTAAAGGTTTTCTTGCTTCATTTCTGCGTCATTTTTCTTTTTTTGTTTTTAGGTCAGGTTCAGGTCCACGTTCCACACTAAAGTTAATGAGTTCAGTGTGTCCCTAGGAGGAGCTATCAGTGGAGCCACCCCAACATACACGTCATTATATTTTAATGAGGAATGGTGGCCCCTCACAGCTAAACCCAGCATTTAGCAAACTGGAGGCATTTCGCATCTTGTGATTGAAAAAATTAAAGATAGACTGGATCCGTGATCCATGCCAGTGGGCACACTTTTACTGAGATGAAAAATGCAACACTTCCATGTCAGTGAAGCTGGAACATTAAGGGAGGTTCGGTATCTTAATTTACCAACTGAGAGCAAGAGCAACAACAGACACTAGGGTTTGGATAAAATTTTTGTGTGGCTGTTTATGAAGCACAGACTCTACATTTTATGGGAAAAGAGTCCTTTTGATGAACAGTATTGCTGTTTACTTGATATGCATCACAGAGTGGTTGTTAATTATTGCACATTTGATAAAAGAAGTGAGCTCATGCACTAAATAAGGGCTATGTGATGGCTCTTTATCACAGAAATGCTGCATATCTCTGGTGCTTACCTCATAGAATCTTAGTGCAAAAATTAACAGTTACACTTTATCAGTGTTTAGCAAATGTTGCATTTTCAGATAATAAAAACAGTGCATAAACATTTTTGTTGTGTTGCATGATTGCATATGTTTTCCTCCAGGAAAACGGCTTGTTTGTCAATTAGCCAACAGGATCTCATTTGCAGGTTTTTGCATGTGGCCTGGAAAGGGTTAATTTGCATTTTATTAGGTTTGACAAAAAGGCTCACAGTTTTTTCCATGGCAACACATGGCAACATCTTTATGTCACATGCTAGAGTTAAGATATTTAGTTATGGCTTGTTGTGTAACTCACACCCTAAAAACTACCTGAAAACGTTATTCCTCGAATGGTAGAGACTAGTATGGCTTAGCTTTTCTTTTTATATATGGTCATTCTGCAAATCGGCAGTTGTCTGTGTAATTTGCATGGTTGCAGTAGCCAAAGAGAAAACTGTCTGCTCTATGATTACTGGGTTTTTTTTACCCTTCCAATTTTATACTTTCTGATCCTGATAGATGTTAATGAACAAAGCCAAAAACAATGAAATGGTGGTGAGGCATTACCACCACCTCTGATTTTTGTCTGACATACAACATGACTGACATGCCACCAAAGACAGTCATTGCATGCCATGCAGAAGAAGCAGTGCCTAGAGCAGGGGTGGGGAACTCCAGTGTCCTGCAGGTTTTAGATATCACCCTGGGTCAATACACATGAATCAAATGATTAGTTCATTACCAGACCTCTGGAGAACATCAAGAGATGTTGAGGAGGTAATTTAGCCATTTAAATTAGCTGTGTTAGATCAAGGATACATCTAAAACCTGCAGGATACCGGCCCTTGAGGCCTGGAGATCCCCACCCCTGTCCTAGAGCAACAAAGAGCCAGATCTAAACTGCTCTAGTTTTATCAGCACATCCGGATGGCAATGAAGGAGAAATTGAAAAGATAGCTCTTATATAGATAGTATAGAATAGATATGGCATAATTCGTGTGAGAATTTCTCAGTAGCAGATTTCATGTTTTTGCTGACAAGTTGTTTGGCCTTGTCTTTGTCAAAATGTAAGTCACATGATTCATCTTGTCTGCCTCAAGTGCTGCACAATCCAAATGTTGCAGTGGACCTACACTAAATGTTCTTGTCTGATCTGTGCTTTTGATAAAAGATCTGCAAATAGACACAAAGCATGGTTGCCCCAAAACCAGACCACAAGAAACTGTTGTCTCAGTGGGCTAATGCAAGAGGATGCACAGACTGCATTCCGGACAAACAGCCAAACACTTTCACAGCATTTGTAAGCCTGCTTTGTGATGTTGCAGTGGCATGCATAGAATGCTTGTTAGCTTTATCCTGAGGACTGAAAATGTTATATATAATGTTATTGTTTTTTTTAAATTGTTTTTTGTATTACAATCATCTTGAACAAATTGAGTCTTTGCTCCTCCTCAACCTGTCCTTACTTGTCTGTAGTGACAAAGAGGTGGTGCAAACAGAAACATCTGAAAGCTTGAAGTGCTGACATACATATACATATATCACAAAAACCCATGCTGTAATTTTTGTACACCAGGACTTCGGATAGTTTTTGCAGTGGTCACATGACAGTCATTGCGGCGCGCGCAAGCAATTGCACAGATGAATAGGAATGATTCATCCGGGTGCCTCGCCGGTCTCTTGTTTGGTCCCCCTGGAGATGGAGACGAGCACTGTGGATACTGTCTGTCGAAAACCATGAGACCACATCCCCTGACGTTTCTCACTGTAACACCACTCACATTGCACTCAGTGGCTGCACAATAAGAGCAGTGTGTCTTAAGCGCTAAATAGGGCTGGAGCGATAGTGAATCCTCCTGCTTTAACACTGAGACTGTGAGGAGGAGGAGGAGGAGGAGGAAAGGGAGGGGTGGGGTTCTTTTCATGGCTTCATACTCCTTTTTTAATGCGCCACATTTTCTCTCTCCCCTTGTTCCCTTTCTCTGTGTTTGCTAGAACATACCTAGCCCTTTCATACCAGCTGCATTTCTCGTTTCACTTCTTTTTACCCGTCTGCGGACAAAATGATCCTAAAGGAGTGTATGTAAGATGTGCATTGTGCAGGCGGGTTGCATGTTAATAGCTAGGTGTCGGTTGTTATTATGCATGCAGCAGCTTCTTTTGACCTCTGATGATCTTAGCCAGGGTCATTACCACTATTGTGAGCCTAAGATGGCTGAAATTCACATCATGGTTGAGGCTAAGTGCTGGGCTAGTGTTCAGTGTGTCTCCTCGCTTCTTTTTTGTACTTGAAGTTCCTGCTATAGCACAAAGGTACACATTTGTCATAGTTCAGTGTTCTGTCCATTTGCAATTGAGCCTAAAAAATCTGACAGCCTGGCTATGCTTCAGAAGGCTAATGAATGTTGAAATTAGCCGGATTTGTAGCATTTATAGAAAAAATTATGAAGTCTGTCTAACACCAGCTTTATTGTCCCCATCACAACGTGCAAGCCTTTTCATTTATTTCTCCCCTGTTTTTTATGGCTTATGATTTCAGAGCTGAATTGAAATGACCCATTCAGAAGCGTTCACTTAGCCTATTGTAGTTACTTAGCTCTCATTTGCATAATAAAAGTGATGTCAAGTTAATGAAAACCAGTGTCATTTTGACTTTCAGCAGGACAGAGCACCACACATTTAAGATCTTAGATATGTTCGATTTATCAGGCTGTTTTTAAGCACAGTTTTCTTATGTTTGATTAAATTTAAGATTATTACCCTTGAGCTTTCTTTTGCGAGCCCACTGCCCTACATAGGGACAAAATAGTATAAAGTGTCAGTATGTCAGTGACGATACCTGTCACTCACTCTAGGAGGAAGAAGTGTAAATGTAACTGTAAATGTGCATGGGCAAGAAGTACATATTTATATCAGTAGGTACTGCAGGTTTAAATGGCTTAAATTTACCAGCCTTGGAGGTGGCTGGCCTGGTCACATGGCCTGGCCTCGTTAGATTTGTGTGATGACTAAAGGAAAAGTGTCATCAAACACTTAGATGATGGATGGAGTCTTACTGAGAACTTTCACATTGTTCCTAGGTTTGCATATGACTTTCAGGAAGAATTTGGAGCTATTAACAGTGACACATTCATTTGTTGTCTTGAAAATAGAAAAAACAGGCCAGATGTGTCGGCTGCTGGTTCTGGTTCCATGAGTTTCAGAAACAGATAAGAAAACGGTATTTATCAAACATTTGTACAACAACTCAGAACAATAATCTGAAGAACTTCATATATGTATGAGGTTGTTGACCAACAATCAAATAAATGAATTAATTTTTATCAAATCACAGGAGTGTTTTTCTAAATATACATTTCTCTATTTACCCCTCCTGTCATTTCCCCTCCACCGTTACAGGACTGCGAGCAGAGCAGGAATTGGTGACATCTTACCCACAGGTGGTGATGGTGCGAGTACCCACGCCCTGGGTTCAGTCAGATAGTGACATCACTGTGCTCCGCCACCTGGAGAAGATGGGTTGCCGGCTGATCAACAGGCCCCAGGCCATACTCAACTGTGTCAACAAGTTTTGGACGTTTCAAGAACTAGCTGGGCATGGGGTGCCTCTTCCTGACACCTTCTCTTACGGTAAATCAGTACTAGACTGTCCTTAAGCTATTTTCACACATGAACATCACATAGACTTTGTAGCAAACATGTTAAAAACTAGCTAAGAAGCGCTCCAGTGCAGTGTGATTAGGTCACACTTACACCTTTGTTTTCAGCTCTAGAAATTTTGTTCATTCGTTCAGTGTGTGTGAAAATGGCTTAAGTATAACATGAATACATGTGCAGTGAACCCCATTTTATTGTTTGTGGAAGTACTTACATATATATAATGCAGGGACTCTATGTCCACACTGCATATAAGACAAATGCAGAAATAAACACAGATAACCAGGTGAGGTGTCGGTCACAGTGATCATCACTGTTTGCCCGGTGATGTTAAAACCGGGTGAAACTGAAATTTAATGGAAAACAAAACCGATACTGTCTGAGTAAACGCAAATGCACACACAGGTAGTAAAACTGCATCATCTACAGTCAAATCGGCATTTGTTCAAGCAGCAGTGATGTCATTATCAGGTGTGTTTTACATTTAAATCACATAATTTGCATCACAGGCTTCTTTCCACATACATGTGGAGCAGTCAGACATATATGGGTGAATCCACATAGTTGTCCTTCAAACCTTTTGATTGTTTTAATACTCACAACATCTGTGAAAATAGTGTTTAAACTAATGCTAAGAAACACAGGATAGCCAAACAAAAACAACAGGCTGCTGTTTTAGACGTTGTTCTTGTTGATTTTCTCGGACAAATCAACGGCAGACGAAAAGGTGTATATACAGTGGGGCAAAAAAGTATTTAGTCAGCCAACGATTGTGCAAGTTCCCCCACTTAAAATGATGACAGAGGTTAGTAATTTGCACCAGAGGTACACTTCAACTGTGAGAGACAGAATGTGAAAAAAAA